TTTTGTCGAGCGGTTATGTGTTACTATACAAAATATATTCTCTAATACATGCTAGGAAAGAAAGAAAATATTTGCTTCATAGGTAAAGAAATTTACAGACATCGCCTGCTGACCACCAATAAAATGACCAGAAAGGGACCAAAAATGGAACTTGGCGGTACTCGCGCTACAGTATTAGCAAAGCAGAAACTGACATGATCTGCTGAAATAAATTGTTTGCGATTAGAGATATATGACCACGTAATCTTAAACGTTCAACCAGAGAAATTCACTTTATCATATAATTTATTTAAGTAAGTAGCATGTGGGACAATTTGACAAATACTTTTGTTAGGTAAAGAGAGACGAGGACACAAATACTTCGCTTGCTAAGCCTATCTCTGATAAGCTCAGTGAAAGAACCTAAAATCTTGGACGTACTTAGGTCTTAAAGATGTGCTTCATTATTTCAGAGCGACAGGGTAGAATGCTAGTCGTTGTTATGTACAGATTCCTTATGGTAGTTTAACGTCGGCAATTAGTGTAGTTCAATTGGGGACTCTTCAGGAAGTAAGACAATCCCCATTGAAGGGCGCCTTACTACCTTGAGGGGGCCACTTTCTCGCTCACTGCGACTTATCTAAACATCTCTTAGATAATTGTCCACGAAACTTCGGAGTAACCATAGCCAGCACGATACTCCCCGAAGGGCCGTACCCGGGCAGTCAGATATGAAGGCATTCCCCGACAATCAGATGGGTGCATCATTTTGCCAGGAGCAATCCCACTTTTGGGCAACCTGACCCTCGTGGTCACCCACATTGTTATGTATAATGCGAACAGCTCGGGCTATTTTCCATTGTGCAGAAAAAAAAAAGAAGAATTTCTACAAAAATAATAAAATCTCTACCCCAGTCCGTTGGCATATTGGGGCAGGATCTTGTGACAGTCTGCGGCCATTGTCATAAGGAGTTCCCCTCAATTATAAAAAAATAAGAACAGTTACTACCGCTAGAGGACTAAGAAAAAAAATTCAGCACAAACCGATTTCGCTTTGGTTGCAACACGCATCTATTACACGCATATTATGTTGTGCTTATCGACGCTTAAATAAATTTAGCAAAACAAAATTAATGGTATTTAGTTTTTTAACGTAAGTAACTGTAATATTAAGAAATCAAAAGTATTTTAATTTGGCAATAAAAGCGAGACTGCCTTGAATTGTTTTTTTTTTTTTTTTTTTTTTCTTAATCGATAATAATGGTTTCCAAAATTAAATGAATTATATTTTTTTGTTGGACTTTTTGAATTTTTTTTTTTTTAGACAATAAAAAAGTGAGTAATAAGTTAGAAAGTTTTATAGTATATGTAAAAACTATGATTTTTATACCTTATACTAGTTGCGGCACAAGGCTGTCTTAAATTTGTGCCAGTTGTATCCAACACCTGGGAGAACTAATGAGAACCATCAGAATCATTTTCTGAATAGCGCTAAGCTTGTCTATCCGTCTATCCTTCTTGTTTGGTACACTGTTGTGTTATGGCCCAAGGATGAACGCCATTGAAAATAGTTCGCCTTGGACTACTTTTTCGAAAACTTCTCATACAACGCGTTGTCTTAAAATCTCGACATATGGATAAGTGAAATATTATAGGGGCGTGCATCACTACAGTGTTTTTACTCGTTTTGATTATCGTAGTCGTCTCAATGGACTTTTATTTCTTTACTTTGAAGCTATTTTCGTTATTTATTATATTTATCATGAGTGCGTATTTACGGATGAATTATCAACCATTTTCATATCCCTCCGCCGAAGGACAATAGTCATTTTGTCGAAACGTTTGCAATGCCCAGAACGAAGCTTGCCCTTTAAGTTTAAAGAATATATATTCTTGATGAGCATGAAATTCTGAATCGATTTCAGCACGTCCTTCCATCCGTCTGTCCGATTGTGTAGAGTTTGCTGTAAATATTGTTCCGGCTGCTAAAAGTGAAGCTAGCAACTTCATATTTGGCAGAAACATTGAAAAATCAAAGTCAAATCGGTCGAAGGAAACATCTACAGTCTCACGTAAACTAAAGAAACCACTGTTTTTCAAATGGAATAGAAAATCTACAAAAGTTTGATCGCATATACTTTGGGCGATGCTACACTACTTGTACAAAAATGGGAAAGATTTACCACGCCTGTTTAATATTTTAGTTTACTATAAATCCATTGTTTCCCCGCAAACTTTATAAATGTATAGAAACAGGCTTGAAACAGCAATATGTGTAGTATATAAATTCTTGGGCAATGTCAAATTCGAAATGCACATGAGCATATCCGTGTGCTCGTCTGTCCATCTGTCCGTCTACCCTGTCCGTGTGGAGTGTCTGCAATAGACTTTCTCTCGCTCGCACAAAGGAAGGTATCTTTTCTAAAAGAATTTGCAAACAGTCAAAACCTATCGAAGGACACGCATTAAAAATTGGGAACACCTTTGCTTTTCGTGTTTTATGCTCATTACTTATAAACTGCAACATATACGTATATTAAATTTCAACTAAAAAATAGAAAAAATCTTCGACGCCCAACTAATGGCATGAAAATCTAGTTCTTTTCTTTTTTTTTGATCTTTTTTATGATAACGATGGTGGGTATAAAAGATTTGAATTTGACCGATCAACTTTTCTTTTTTTGGTATTTTTGCATTTTAATTTCGGAGAGTGTAAGATAGATAGATAGACAGGCTTTCCTTTAATTTATAGTTACATAAGTTTGCTCTTCCTATGTCACTACAAAATCCAAAAATTCTTAATAGATTTTCATAGAAATTTTTTTAAGGGAGTGTTCATAAAAATATTTACTTTAAATTGTTTTCAAGTCTATTGGTAAATAAAAGCCAATTACTTTGTTGTTGCTTGCAATCAATTCGTTGCTTGAAATTAATAAAGAAAAGTTTGTTAAGTAAATGTTGTGATATTTCATGATTTACGTAGATTAATATCTCGAGGTTTAACTACAGCTTTAGATAATTTATTCTTGTTTTTGTAAGTAATCCATTTAAGCATGTAAAGCTGAATAGGAAATGATGTTTTCTAAAAATTGAAGAACAGAATTTTAAAAAATGAGAGAGAGAGAGAGAGACATTTTTTAACTATATGATCAAATAGGAGCTGTATACAAATATTTAGTTTGAACCAATGTGATGTGTGTGTGTTTTTATTTTAGATATCGATTTCTGAGATTTTTTATATAAAAATGATTTTGTGTAAGTAATCACCTCTGGGTTTTTCTATCTATAACACTCTCTTCTAGAATATTCTCAAGATCAAAAGAGGAGATACATCGTATATTGCATTGTGTCTATTATATACAGAATGCGATATTTTGAGGGATACCAAGTGTCTTCAGATTTCAAAAGGTGTACAAAATGATAAAAAAAAATGGAGGCTAAATCTGTTATTGAATCGTGACCGCACGGCTTGCAGGCTATATACACTTATATCTATAAGTTCTTAGGGTTTTAAGGCCAGTTTTGTGATAATTTTGAGTCAATCCAAGGATTGGTAATCCTTTGAAGTTAGCCTAAAACAAAATGATAAGGAAAAATTTGATTTAGAATTTGTTTGCTTTTCAGAAGGTAAACAAACACAGATAGGCAGCCAGTCATTAAGTAGATTCTGTTATCCAAGCTACACAAGAAAGATTTACGCTCTATCACGTCCCTAATGAATATTTCTATGTACATTGATAAACATTGGGAAAGTCTGACACGCACAAGCAGTAGTACATAGATCATTGGTGAAAGGACAGAGGACTAATTTGAATAATTGTCCAACGAAGGTAGAAAATAATAATGTAATTTGCCGCTAGGTGATCCCCAATGTGTGAATGGAATTGAACTGAACCACGACCAGCCACATAAGAAATGTCCTCCATACGTGGAGAGAGAGATGGAAGAGGTTTGTAGTATTCTAAATGTTTGAAACCGGCTGATGTAAAAACTTAGATGAATGAGGGAACACAAGAGTTAACAAATCATATAACTGCAAATGAAGGCTTTTTTATGGCAGTTTCTGGGGCCGCTACGAATTTTTTATTGATAAAAGGAAATGTCAGTTGAAGGAATGAAAATTTTTATTATTTCTAGGATCTTCGACAACTGAGCATAGTGAGCAAATTCCTTAGTTATAAACAATTTTCAAGACATCGCATAACTAATATTATTCAGTGCTAGATGTGACTTCTCCAAAGCAAACTACTCTACCTTAAAAGATCCTACAGTATTGACAAGGTTTGGAGAATATATTTAAGCTATCGGATACGTAATTGAGTTGTTGGATTACGCGGAGATAGAGAGGTGCAAAAAAACGCTGCGTTTATTTTGCTTCGAGCGATGAGTTATGACTCACCTAAGCAGCGCTTCCTTCATCCTTATTACGGAAAGCGGGAAAACATATGTTGCCGCAGATAGCTTCAGGAACCGAGTTTTTATTTTATTACGATAATCATATGATGGGAGAAAGTTGGCAGAGGTAGTTGATAGAAATGGACAACATTTTAGATATAGAAGCTTGTACAA